TCTCAACCACACCTTTTGAATTTTCCCTCTTTTTTGCCATTTTTCAAATGTCGTGTAATCTATTTGATTCTCGGCGACAAATGAAATGGCCACGGGAGCTTTAGTGAAGATATATTAATTTAATTTATTAAATTCACTAGTTTCGTGGTCCGCTTGACCAATTAATTTCTCTCAATTAATTAAGATTTTTAGTTGAGATAAAACTTACTACATACAACTAACTAAAAGACTTTTTTATCTCAACTGAAAACCTTTTATACAATAATGTCTTGTATGGACTATGTCGTCAGTTAAACTAATAATTTAAAAAATTATGTTTATATTAATAAATAGAAAAATATATAATACGTATTTATAAATACAATTACAGTTAATTTTATTATCATCTATTTTCTCACAAATTTCAAGAACTGATTAACAGGAATAATATGTACAAAACAAATGTTATATAATTAAATGTCTGCTTTTATGCCAATGTTTTATTACTTTAATGATAAATATATATGCATACATATTTTGTAAGTAATGCTGCAAAAAAAAATTGTAAGGTAGCCAAGCTTGTTATTATAAAGCAGAATACATGAATTTGTATTTATTTTATCGTTCTTACTTTACTTTTGTTTTCTAGAAAAGAAACAGAGCGAGAGAGAGAGAGAGAGCGAGAGAGAGAGAGAGAGAGAGAGAGAGAGAGTGAGAGAGAGAAAGCGAGCGAGCGAGAGAGAGGGAGAGAAAGGGAGTGAGAGTGTGAGAAGGAGGAGGAAGGAGGGAGAGAGAAATCTAGGTTTTTTTAATTGTAAAATATTATTTAACATTTCATGGCACAGACAGCAGAGAATATAATAGAAAGGACAACGTGATAAGTATATCAATACACTTAGATCGAAAGATATAAACGCAGACATATACGATGTGATTTACTTTATTAAGACACGCAAAGTTAAGTCTTCTAGATAGGTAGACATATAAATACAGATGAATTAGCAAATAAAAGCAAGAATATAAAAACAAACGAGTTGAAAATTCATTTGAAAACCATGAAACATAAAGGAAATTAGAATTTTTGGCACAGTACAAAATTGAACTGAATATACCACCCGCCCATTCTACTTTACAGTTGTGGTACATTTCGACCACTGTGCTAAGCTTAACTCATAAATTTATTATTGCTAAAGTCATCTTTTTTATAGTAGTGCTTATAGAGTTTTTAATTGCAAATTCTCCTTATACATGATTTTTTTTAAATACAACAATATTGATTACTTGTTCGATAAGAATTGTTGAACTGACATTACGCGCTCATGTAACTTTGTTAGAACGCAATTAACGATTTGTATTAGCAATTATTCCTCTTATAACCAGTACAATTACGATTATGATAATTAAAAGGTACAAAGCAATTTCCTCATCGTATGTATTTGCGAAATGATTTGACGATATGGTTAGATGATTCGGTTTTCCCCTATGATCATCACGCTCCAACGTGTAAAGAAATCCAATTTAACATGTCTATTAAATCATCGGATATACTTTATCATGCACATTCCAGAAAGAAAAATAATTAATTTCTTCTCGTTTATAAATAACTTACAAGTCGACCTTAATTATATACTATATTTTTAACTAGTACCCAATAATTTCAGAAGTGTTTTTTTTTATATTGATCAAGTGGGTAATAAGAGGCACGGATGTTTTTGAGCTTATTTATTTAAAGTTGCTTTTTGCTATGGGGTTGTGTGGGCAACGGAAAAAAGGCAGCGGCAAGGCCGCGAACTGCCTCTGGGGGTCGGAAAAGAGAATGAATTTGTAAAACAAGTTTTGTTGAAAAAAGACAAAACCACATACAATTTTGTAGTTTAAATAAAATTCCAACTTGAAATGAGTATAGAAATAAATAGTAACTTTGCTATGCATTTTAATTTTCAAGAAATTGGTAAAAATATATTTATATTCTTATTTGGTAATACTTATTTAATTTCTGTCTACTTATTACTTTTCAACGTTTTGTTGCTTATTAAACAAAACTTACGTCTTTTTTTAGGCCGAATATTACAAGCATGGAAAAAAACGGGAAGTTTTTTACGTCTCACACATTTTCATGAATTTATAATGTGGGCCCTGAAAAAAATACGACTTTTTTCCACCCCAAAGCGGTTCATATTTTCTTGTGTGTTCTTTGTTTTCAGCCGGTGAATGATGAATTCCAGAACGATTTGATACCCTCTGAAGATTTTCGGAACAAATGACATTCGGTGATACGTGTTTCGTTTTGTTGTTTCGTCCTTCCTTTTTTTACCCCCAACGGTTGTCATGGTCGCATGCAAATTCATCTGTCTTTTTTTGTTTGCAAGTGGTAAACAAAAGCTCCCTAAACTCGTGCCTGTGGAAAAACCACGAAAAACACAGTTTCTTGAAAATGAGCAAAATAGCAAAATTGGCCATTTGTTTGAGCACTAACTTCAGTGATCAGAACTACAGCAGTCCTTAGCTAAAAAAAATGTACTTCAATATTTTTGTAAATAGTCATTATATTTGCCTATTCTAACATATTTAGAACGAAACTCGATACATACGAAAAACTTCAAATGTTATGAATTATCGCTGGGTTAGAAGGTAAATAAAAGTACTTCCTATAACCACTTTCATTGTAAATTGACATATCAATTAAATCAAATATAATACAAAAAATTCAACGAAAATGAAGATAATTAGCCTGATTAATAAAGAGTGGTACAAAATTTTGGGCCACGGAGAGTAGGTACATAACTTTGCAAAAGTAAGTGGAACAATTTCTACTTGAGTGTGATCAATTAGGGCCGCGCAGAAGAAGGTTTGGTCCATGAGACTCGAAGAACTTACTAAAAACTAAAAATACAGTGGTGATTCCCGCAAGAAATTGCTTCGATACCTGACGGATAATATTATATGGCCACATTTGATGGCCTTTTTATGTTAATTATATATTAAATTAGTTTTTAGAGCATCTGTGGGTGTGTTTGTGACGGAATGTAGAGTAGCTCAGAGACTTTACAGTCTAGGTCAGTATTACATGTTTTTGCACAAAAATATAATATATACCTATCTGCTTTGGCGTATTTTTTTGCTTATACAAAGTCAAACTTTATTCCATTTTCAATTCATTATTCTCTTTATGTAAGGACTTAGTTCAGATGAAAATGTTAGTGTCACCAGCGGGATTCGAACCCACGACCTTCGGCTCAATACGCCGCTGCTTCAACCTCTTGAGCTAGTGACTTTGATCCACTCGGACACTAACTCCCCATCTCAACCTACACCTTTCGAATTTTCCCTCTTTTTGCCATTTTTCAAATATCGTGTAATCAGGAAACGATGTGTGTGAACGATTAGCAGTGTCACGATAGCTCAAGTCGTAGAGCAGCGGCGTATCGAGCCAAAGGTCGTGGGTTCGAATCCCGCTCATGACACTAATTTTGACGCGGTTTTGTTTACATCTCGTAGCGAACTATCTCATAACAATTAAAAATAAACTGTAAATGTTTTATTAATTACAATGTATATATTTTATATGACATTAATTTGTATTAAACAATTGGATGATCCCTAATATATGTAATATTTAAGGACAAAAATATGGATCATGTAAATACATTTCGAATTGATTATTACATATTATTACGTATTTAATTGGGAATTTATTGTTTTTTCCTTTGACCTACCAATAACACCATCTTCCTTTTCTTTAAAGGTAAATGGTTTTTAAATTTATGCCCGTTAACAAAAATAAAAGCAAAGGCTACATTTAATGAATATTAATAGTTGATGCTAAAAATATGTGGGGCCTGCGCGCATATTCCGTCAGAAGAAATTACATTTACGCTCATGGTTGTTAAGGGGCAATTGTTGGCTGTAATTAATGATAAAACCGACAAACCAAATTTGAATGGATTTCAGGTATATCAAGCTGTCTAGCCCAAAGTTGAACAACGTCGCCGTCGTCGGCTGTATTCTGGTCTATATGGCTGTTATTCTCCTTGGATTGGACAATGCCACCCTGCCGTCGACGGCCGTTTTCCCCACTGTCTGCACGGTGAGTTGAAAAGACCCATTTCCATAATTATTTGCATGATTTTACATTAGCGGAAGATTTCAATATCAAAGGTGTCGATGAAACCGTGAGGTGAGGCAACATAAACAATTTACCGACGATAAATAACTACCGATCAAAGAAATAATTAAATAAGTAGAATCGGATAGAAAATTGAGAGAGAAAAAAATTGCAAAATAAAAGTAAGCCAACCCTTGTGGTCTATGTTTGGCAAAGGCTTTTTCTCCTCTTCTTCACTTGATCCATTAGGCATTTGCTGGATTCATCCTCCCGCGGGAGAGCTTTCGACGGATGTCGTTTATACCAACCCCCTTGGGCTGATTAGCACTTCAATCTTTCTATTTATTCCAAATTCACTCCTCCTATTGATTTGATGAAATGGAAAAGCCACTAGACCTAGTTACTCTAATTTCAAAGTACAAAATTACCATTCATTCATTTATTTCCAAATGTGTTTTCAAATAATTACTTATTTCTGTATAATAATTTGGTTATTTTGAGAGTTGATTTTAATTAATAATGCCTTTTAGGAAGGTGTTTGATTGCAGAAACAACATGTTAAAATTAATATATTTTAAGTGTCTATGCCCTACTCAGTTTGTATAACCTATAATGAATAATAACTTTCGAACTTGTATTTAATTGGTATTTTTATTGCTTCTTATAAATATTTATAATATTAATTAGTATTCTTTTCAATTAATTAAGGCTTTGGCTGAGATAAAAAAGTCAGTGACACGAGCGGGATTCGAACCCTCGACCTTTGGCTCAATACGCCGCTGCTCTACCACTTGAGCTATCGTAACTTCGATCCACTCAGACACCAACTTCCCATCTCAATCCCACCTTTTTGTCATTTCTCAGCCAAAGCCTTAATTAATTGAAAAGAATTTAATTAGTCAATCGGACCACGAAACCTAATACATTAATTGGTATTGTAGTATTATTGTTAATTTTTTATTATTTGTTAGCACAGAATTGGCCATTAGGTACTAAATAAATCTCAAGGCTTGGTGATTTCATGGTTTTAGGAGTTCATTATTTTAACACCAACCCTGGATATACAAGGAAATTAAAAACAAATTAAAAATAAAAATAAATTAACATTTTAGCGAAGAGTTATTAAATTATCTTAACAAATAGCGTCATTTTCTTTCAGATATATAAGTTTAGTGTGTTAAGGGTAACTTTTAAAAACTGTATTTATTTCTCGACGATCCAACTGCTCTAGTTTTCCAGGTGCTTAAAAGTGTGCTGCAAAGTATTGATGGTTTTACAATTTGTGGAGAAAATCGAGATTGTTTTGAACTGCCAGATCTTTCATCACAATATACTTAATGTAATCAATGAATTGGCAAAACTCATAGTAAAGTTGTCATCAATCTACAAAAAGTGCGAGTTTTATGTGAATCTTTATATACTGAAAGTTTAAGTTTTAAGTTGATTACCAACTTTCAGATTAAATTTGAAAAGTCGATCTTAAACTTGTTTTAATGCAATTTTAATACGAAACGTTTTTCCCATTTTCAAGACTCAAAGTTCTTCCGTAATTTCACCTAACTTTAGTGAAAATCATTCTTCTGTCTAATTTTATGGAATTAAGTCCAAAGTGATAAGGGACTTGATTTTAAATGACATTGATCTGCTACCTAGAGATTTATTCAATTTACGATGTTGAAGTAGGATTAAAAATATGCAAGTAATTTTTACTTATTGCCATTTTATCGTTTCAAAGCATTTGATTGATTTAGTAAATAAAATTGACAGAAATACGCTTGCATTTTTAAAACTTTTAACTCCCTTATATCTGCACAGTTTGTTTTTTAACCGCCAACTTTACAGGAAGTCAACAAAGAACAAAGCAAAGACGTCGATTTTGTTAGAAACATCTTCTGGAAGAGTATTTAAGTTTTACTTTTACACTTTGAAATAATCGGTACCTAAATGACTCTACTTTATCGACCTTTCATTCTGCTCTATGCTTGTTGATTTATAACTTGTTCAAATATTTCTTTTTTTTTTTAAGTTTATTTAGAAAATAGACAGAATATGTATATTTAGTTGTTTTATTTAACTTTTAAAGACTTAGGCATGATAATGGCTATAATGTTGATATCATACATAATGCCTCTGTCGTTTTCATGCGTTTAGTTATTTATACAAATCTCCAAGCGGGGTTCCGGAAATATTACTCGACTGTAGACAATATATTCAATTTAACAAGCATAATAAACATTAAAATGAGCACCAAACGTGGCAAAGTCTTTGCATTTTTTTTTTTTGGATTTTTCAGCATTCGATCGAATAGATAGACGGGCCCTCTTCCATAAACTTAGGTTAATGGACGTTTCGTCTAAAATAGTCAGAATCCTCAGAGGCCTATATGCTGATACCTCTGCACGGGATTAGGGTAAAAATGGACTCTCAAACAGCTTCGCAACTGGCGTGAAACAAGGCTGCGTTTTAAGCCCCCTGCTGTTTGCCATCTTTATAAATGATCTTGAAGATAGCTTGGAGGGCGGAATCAACATCTTAGGTAAATGCAAAAAGCTATTAGCATATGCAGATGATATTGCACTATTAGCCTCGGATAAACGTACCTTACAAAAAATGATAAACCAATTAGAAAAATATTGCAACCTGTAGAACATGTCAGTAAACCTGGCAAAATCAAAAATTATGATTTTCAGGAATGGTGGCAAATCAGGGAAAAACGAGAAATGGTGGTACGGTGCAAACAAAATTGACGTAGTGAATTCCTACAAATACCTGGGGGTGATTCTGACATCTGGGTCTACTCTAAGGAAACATTTTGAAGACAAAAAGGCAAAATCAAAATTTGTAATAAACTCATTAAGAACTGTAGTCCTAAACAATAAAATCCCTATTGCATCTAAAATGATTGTATTTAATGCTACATGCAGGTCCACCTTGTGTTATGGGGCCCAGGTATGGGGATATAAGTACCGAGATATTATAGAAAAAGTGCAAAGATCTTATCTCAAAAGAATTCTAAACCTACCCACATACACGCCTAACTATATGCTCTACCTAGAATTAGAAACAACACCTATTTTCCTATGTACACTAAACTACACCTCAGTTATATAATTAGGTGCCTCAAGTTGACCCCTGACAGATACCCACACAACCTAACAACAGTATTATGGGAAAAAAATATACTCTGCTTCAGGGAATATAGCGAGATTGAAAAGGCACATGGTATTTCTATCCAAGCATTACTCAACCCAAAACAAACAATCAATGATATAAAGAAAAAGGTTGAAGCCAATATAAAAAACTCGTACGTAGAGAAAGCATCTAATTCCTTATATCACCCCCAATTTAAAACCATCCTAAATTGTAATGCTTACCTGCGCACAAACAACAACCTTGAAATAAGCTGGTTTATGAAAATAAGATGTGAATTNAGTTGGAATTGTTGCCTATTAAAAGCCTATTATGGATTAGCCTGATATGACCTATTCGCAATCTAGAGAGAATCACAAGTTCTTTTCTCTCAAGTTCCTCAGAATTATTATTATTATTATTATTATACAAATGGAAAAAAAATTGCGTCTGTGCATGTTTCAAGTTTATTTGTCCTTTATGCAGATTCTACAAGTACCACGAGCAGAAATTAGTATTAAAAAATATATCGTTTTAGTAGGATTATTAACTAATTATTATTATTTTATGTTGCATGCATAATCTAACAATATATTTTCTTTATTCTTAAAAAAAAACGTGAGGCCAAAGTTGGAATGCTGAATATGCGTTCAAAATCAGGGTTTTATTAAATCTGATATTGAAGATTGCCATTATTTTTATAATTTTGTACCATTACTAGTATACTTTCGGCTTGTTTGGTGTTATTCGAATCTAGGTACATCTGAAAAGAAGAGGACTTCAAGTTGTTTAATTCACTTTAAAGTTTAATTTCATTTTCCCTAAATTCCAGTGTTACTCAATATGAAATCTTATACCGTCCGTTTCTTCAACACTCGAAAACCACTGAAACAAAAAGGAAAGAGAACAAGTTTCTTATTGGTTCAACGATATCAGATTGTTCCTCGATTACGTTTATTTTATCCCGAGAAAATTTTTGCACCCTCCACCCACGTCACGTAACAATACGGGAAACTGATGGAGAAGGTGTGGCAAAAATGGCTTCCGTCAAGGATGGTTAGACGAATGCTACCTTGTAAGGTGGAACGAGAAAGAAACAAGGCATACCTACGTTGTCATTAATCCTTAAAAACCTGAACCCTGGCAACATTGTAAAGATGGATGAATGGAAAGATAACTGAAAGTAATTGAAGGCCACTAAGATCAATAATACCCAAAGTAATCATTATTATAATGTATATATACATGAACGTCTGCCGTTATAATTTTTATATATTTAATTTAAAACATAAAATTTTTAGTATGTTGGCGAATTTATTTTTATCAATATTAACTATAAATTTTTTGCATTTGGATTGTATTGATTTTTAGGTTTAAAAACCATGGTCAGGTTTGTGAGATCATAAACGCGCTCTGTGATAATTAAATGGCTGGTCACTTTATCAAGTTATGAAAATAAACAAGCTAGACTTAAAATTAACTAATAAATTTAATTAACACTGCGGTAAATACGAGAAATAGTATAAATATTTAAAATGCCAACATTTGTAACTCTTCGATGGAAAGAAGCTCCTATCTTCCTCCTGAAGTTCAAAATATAACGAAGTTGAGCAAAAGTTTCATGAAGAATATTCCTAGAATATATAATTTTTGGTTGAAAAAACATATATTTATAAAAAATTTAAAAGAATATATATATTATGTATAAAAAAAGGAAAAACAAACAGAAAATATCCTGCAGAGTCTCTCTCTCTCTCTCTCTCTCTCTCTCTCTCTCTCTCTCTCTCTCTCTCTTTCTCTCTCACTCAATCTCAATCTCAGTCTCTCTTTTTTAACACAGACTCTTCTTTACAACACAAGCTCTTCTCTCACTTTCTCTATTGCTCTGTTTCATGATTTTTTCTTCTCAACCTCTCTATTTTCTTTCACGCTCTCTTTGACTCTTTTTAAGTTTTTATATTTTCTTTCTCATTCGTTGACTCTAAATTTCTCTCTCTCTCTCTCTCTCTCTCTCTCTCTCTCTCTCTCTCTCTCTCTCTCTATCTATCTATCTATCTATCTATCTATCTATCTATCTATCTATCTATCTATTTATCCATCTATCTAACTATCCATCTGTCTATCTATCTCTCTATCTATCTCTCTATCTATCTATCTATATTTCTATCTATCTATCTACCTGTCTCTCTCTTTCTCTCTATTACATATGCTCACGACTCGTTACATTTATTCTCTCACTTTCCCTATTTCTCCTTTCCAATTTTTTTCTTAATCTTTCACTCTAGACTTCTCTCTCACTCTTCTCTCTTTTTTCTCTCTCACTCTTTTTCTTTTTCTAAATGTTTAATAAATAATATCATTTTTGAGCGAAATAGGCATGTATTATTTAAATTAAACCTTTTCCAATGCCCAGCGTCGGTTATCGTCAGAAAAAAAGACAAATTTTGTTTGGTATTGAGGCCAACTATTTATACGATAAATTTAGTATTTATTGTTATAATGAATTATTTATACTTTTGTATTAAAATTGTTTCCAGGCCAGAGTATACCTGTTATCTGCCGGTTTTTCCATGGCGTTTGGTTCCATGTTTGCCAAGACTTATCGTGTGCACAGAATTTTCACGAGAAACGCCAGAGGAGTTGTAAAAAACAAGGTAAGCTATATAAACGGAATATCACACTTGTAATCATGCTGAATTAAATCAAAATATTGAAAAATTATTATTGTGTAAATGGTAAAAATGAAGATACAAAAACAAGTTACGCCTGAACGCGAAACGCTATAAATTGTTTTATATGATCTCCATTTTATTTTACAGTCGGTTTAATTGTCCTTTGTCGTTCGAGTTTTTATTGCTTGTACAATAGTTTTTCAGGTTAATTGAAGTGCTTTATGGCTCCATTTGTATGTCCGTTTCAACGATCCACCCCGTGGCTTGGTCATTGTTTATTCGTTTTCGTTCCTTTTGTTGTACTTTTGGATAGTTATCTAACCGAATACTTTCGCTTGATATGGAACTCTCAACCTTAGTAAATTTAAAAAATAAAAGTTAGAAAAATTTAGATTTTAATGGAAAAATACACGTCATTATAATTCACAAGAACGATTTTATGCAATGTTAAAAAAAATTAATATGATAATAAGATACTAGACATTTAAAATTGCTAAATAAAAAATATAAACATTTAAACATGTAAGCATGGTATTAACAGAAGCTGGTAACTGACGAATGTTAAAAAGCGATTACACTTGGGCCTAGAAATCAAAACCTTTCATCACCGCAGGGAGTCATAAACAACTGTATACAGATTTATCGTTTTTTGCGTATTTCCTCCGGTGTATAATTATAAATTTCTCTTCTCTTGAATATTTCTCACAGGAAAGAGTTTTTTTTTTCTTCTGAAATCATTATAATTTATAATTCATATAAGAGTAAGTTACTTTTTCAATTTTAATAAGTTATGTTTTTCTTTCCAGCTCCTCCAGGACACACAATTAATATCTCTCATATGCGTGCTTCTCGTCGTCGACGGTCTTATTGTGACTTTATGGGTGATAGTTGACCCGATCGAACGTCAATTGAGGAATTTATCACTTGAAATATCACCGATAGAAAGAAGCGTTGTATATCAGCCACAGGTATCAAATATATTAAAAAATTTTTATTTGTACATCTAATTTTTTCTTATATATATATATATATATATATTCATTAGTTTTCGTGGTCCGCTTGACCAATTAATATCTTTCAATTAATTAAGATTTTTAGTTGAGATAAAAAGTCAGTGTCACGAGCGGGATTCGAACCCACGATCTTCGGCTAGATACGCCGCTGCTCTACCGCTTGAGCTATCGTGACCTCGATCCACTCGGACACTAACTTCCCATCTCAACCCCACCTTTTGATTTTTCCCTCCTTTTTGCCATTTTTCAAATGTCGTGTAATGTATTTGATTCTCGGCAACAAATGAAATGGCCACGGAGAGCTTTAGTGAAGGTATACTTCATTTTTTAAAATACAAAAGGTGGTGTTGAGATGGGAACTTATGCTATAAAAACAACTGTGGAACATATTAGAACGTTTTGGATGCAAAGGTATATTCTAAAGGAACGATAATCCAAATACCGTTCAACATCATTAGATTTGGAACATTTTAGACCAAATCGATGATACTTATTCCAAGGGAAGAGTACGAATAGGTGATTTTTACTCTGTATTACTTAGACAAAAATATCAAATTTTAGTTTTTCTTTTTTGTTTTGTTTTTGAGTTTTACCTAATTAGTTTTTACATAAATGCTAGTAAATGTATTGAATATCGTATGTTATTCAATTAATTAAGCTTTTTAGTTGAGATAAAAAAGACAGTGTCACGAGCGGGATTCGAACCCACAATCTTCGGCTAGATACGCCGCTGCTCTACTAAGAAGAAGAAGAAAAATAACTTTATTCTGGGACTGGTGTCCTCTAAGAATAATTTACATGAAATAAATAAAGGAAGTTCCTGCTATGAAGTTAAAAGTAAAAAAAAAAGATAGAAATCTTGGCACAATGTATACCAATAAGGCAGGACAGAAGAAAAAATTACGAGAATATTAAACAAAAATAACAAATGTTAACGTGAGGTCTCTGCTTGGAGGGAGAGGAGGTGATTATACAGGTGGGATTTAAAGGAGGAAAAGGAGGCAGCGTGACGAATAGAAAGGGGAAGGGAGTTCCAGAGTTTAGGGGCTCGGATCAGAAAGGATCTTTCGAAGGTATGGGTTGTATGTTGCGGAAGGATAAGGTCGATTGGGGATGAGCGGGTCTTACGAGTGAGATGTGAGGAGTTGAATTGGAGGGATTGGATGATGTAAGGAGGACGACGAGTGTGGATGGACTGGAAAAGAAAGCAACCTAGGAAATACTGTGCACGGAAGGAGGGGAATAGCCAGGAAAGTTGGGAATACAACCCCGACACCCGGGATCCCCGTGGGGTGCCGTACACAAATCTTACGCAACAATTCATAATACGCTTCAATCGCGCGTTCTCCCCCTCCGAGAGACCACCGTATGCCAAACAGCTATAATCGAAGAAGGGAAGTATAAGGGAAGATACAAGGAGTTTGCGGGTGGAGAAAGGTAAGAGAAGCCAGGACCGACGAAACAGGCTGAGGGAGGCAATGGAATGGCGGGAAATTTGGGAAATGTGAGAATGCCAGGAAAGGTTTTGGTCAAAGACTACTCCTAGGTTTTTAACCGAAGAGCAGAAGGGGATGGGATGGTTATTTAGCATGAGAGGTGGGATGCTGGGGAGGGAATTGAGGAGTTGCCTGGTCCTGATAATTATGGCGGTGGATTTGGACGGATTGAGGACTAGGGAATTTTTATGGGCTCATTCGTTGAAGGAGTTTAGGTCTTTTTGGATCGTGAGTAACTTTACTTACTACTTGAGCTATCGTGATCCGTGGCCTTTTCATTTGTCGCCGAGAACCAAATAAATATATATATATTTATAATTCCAACTGCAATTTAAAGTTACAATAATGTGTTGAGGAGATCGAATAATCAATGTTATTCTACTATTTCTCATTACTTTACTAGTTAGAAACGACTGTAGGGGGACGGAATCTGTTAGACAAAGCCCAAGTTTGTTTTGGTAATGGGAGGATTTTTTATGTAACTTGGTAAAGTTTTTGAAAAATTTAATTTTAAATAAATAGGATTTAAGGTCGATGTGGAGGGTAATACTGGAGACATAATACAGAGCGTTTAGAACTGACCTAAGGATTTCGGTTTAAGAGGATTAGAGACCTTGAATATTTGCTGTTATCCAAATACTGTATGTCCAAATCGGTAGTAGAAGCGGTTTGTACAATTTAAGTTTGTTTTTCGTCGATAGCTGGATTATCGTTCCGTAAGTTTGGAACCCAACGAAGTCAGATTTGGTGGCAGGAAAATTTTTATAGTTGAATATGGGAAGATATGCTTCGGAATCTAAATCTAAAAAGGAAAACATGGGATACATCCATGCAAATCTAAATGCAAGGGATACAAGAGAAGGCAGTTGGGACGTTTGCAGTATAAAATATGTACGGAATTGGGCCAAGCACACTGCCCTGCGGTAGTCCCGCATCTAAATATCAAGAAAATTAATTATGAAATAAAGGTAATAATAGCTGGCTTGAAGCTAAAATCACCTTCCACAAAATCCTGTACACCAGTTAAAAACTTAACTTAAAATTCATATTATAATGTATTTACAGAGAAAAGCAGATTTCCAATGCAAAAAGTAAGACTAGTAAATAGTAAGGGATGTGTAAGTTTAAATGAAACTTCTCCTGTACCGTTGACTCGTCATAAAATTTTATCGTCGGGGAAAAATGCCAGGATGGAAAAAGAACCATCGTAAGGTCGGACCTAATGCCCTTATAAGCATGAAACATGACACGGCCTGGAATATTTAAAACGGTCTTTTATAAATAATTTATAAAATTCGCCTAAATCCTGCTGGTCTCTTGTTGGGTGAAAATGAGCGTATTTGAAAATTATTTCCTAAATATCGATGAAAGAACATTAAAAATTAATGATTTTGCAAAGAGAGGGAGGAAGGGAGCGAAGAATGAGAGAGAGAGAGAGAGAGAGAGAGAGAGAGAGAGAGAGAGAGTGAGAGAGAGAGAGGGAGAGAGAGAGAGTGAGTAGGAAGTAGGGATATTATTTATTTTTCTATTCCTACTTCCTTCTCCATTCCTTCAAAATGAAAAATGAAACGCACATAAACAAAATCATTAAATCTCACTAACACTCTCAACACAACACACAACAGTGGCACATCTACACAGAAAACACATGTTTTGAGTGAGTATAAATACTGTGATTAAACCAAAAATTAATATTACTTAGATTAATATTGTGTAAATCATTGTACAAAACATAGTCATATCTTATATGTATATTTATAATTTAAACAATGTTGATAAATCCCAGGCCCTGAAGATGATCTCAATAAAGATCGAAACGTTAGCACGATAAAGAAAATGTTGTTCTAAACTTACATCACTCCAGACCGCATCTCATGATCTCTAAATAATCTTTGTGGTAAAGAGGGCGCATAACATCTTTCAAAAATTGGATTTGACGTTAAAAGTTAAGCGGGTACTGGAAACAAATAATTATTAAGAAGAAATAAATGGACTTTGTAAATGCACGTGGTGAAGAATCTATTTATCACAATTCTCATTACACTCAATAAGTTAATTCCACGTTGATCACCGATTATCCGATTGGATTGTGGGAGAGTGTGCTCACTCTAGACAGATCCATGGAACTCACAAAGTTGCGTATACGTAACAATTTCTTGTATAAAGCTAAAAATAACAATAAAATACAACGTTTAACCCCAATCATACTACTAAAAAACAATTAAATGAAGGTTATAAGCCAAATAAATATTTATTGACACATTTCTACCAAAAAAATAATGACACGGAAAAGTGAAAGAAAATGTGTTGAATAAAATAATCATAAGCAGCTAAATATAACTATGCTTTTATTATTTATTTATTATTATTTATTTTATTTTTTTATAATTACAATTACTAAAAAGTTTAACAAAGAATTTGGTGAGAGTATCACTCAGTTTGACCAGAACGCAACGTCTGGGTTATAAGCAGGGTGAAGCCAGCCAGCTCTTAACATTTCGTCGGGTACAGCCTGCGTCAAACGGGCAAGATGTCCAATAGTGCTTTAGTCTGTCAATGAAAGCGGAATATTTCTATCCGATTACACTAAAGAGCTGTTGAATCAATAAAGCTCTCAGGTGGAACAAGTTCAAAGCCCAAAACACTTTCAGTTCCACCCAATTCAAACTCGCATTTCTCTGAACCGATTTTGGTGAAACCCCTGTTCGACGTGATACGTCAATTTGATGAAAAGTAGGACAAAAATATCTAATGTAACAGTTCATGCTTTTGCTAGTATAAAAGGGATGGTTTTTAAAACGTGAGAACAGTCAGTCGATGGACTAGAATGCAGTGAAAACTTGTTTTCTAACTCACTCCGTCAAAAAAGACGATTTTTTAAATTTTTTTCTAAGAAAAAACGGACTTTTCGCAAAAACACGGATCTTCACGGTTACCTTTGGTTTTTAAAATCTACGTTAAATTTTTAAAGATTAAATTAAATTTTTAACGTGTCCTCCTTCCTTCATTTTTACTATCTTATCCTCAAAACCTTCCTCTCGGATCGACGGTTTAAAGTGAGAATCGGCACAGATTTTTCACTCATAATGTCAATCAAAGCTGGCGTTCCGCAAGGAAATATCCTAGGCCCAATCTTCTACACCATCTACACTGCTGGCATACCCACACATCCAAACACACAAACCTAAGCGGATGGCACCGCAATCTTATCAACGCACTCCAATCCTATCCTAGCAACAGAAGCAATCCAACAACATCTGAACCTCATTACCGACTGTTACAATCTCTGGCGGATCAGGTTAAACGAACAAAAAACCAACAAGTTACGTTTACGCTCAAACGTGAAACCTGCCCACCAGGGCGCATTTACAACAAGATAGAACCACCTTGGGCTTTATTTAGATAGTAGACTTGTATGGAACACTCAGACACCTACTGGGACCAAAATCAACACAAGGC